GGGGATAAGAAGGGGGGGGGCGCGTCAAAGAGTACTGGACTGTTAGCCGCCCAACGTGCCAACTTCCATCGTGCACAGCGATCAACTATCAATTCCTCTGCATCTTCATGGGGAGGGAACTGTGGCAGGATGCCTGTCCTTTCTGTGATCGTTGTGCCTGTCTGGGAGAGAGACGGGCCCCCGCGCGTCGCCGGGTGTTCCCAGTGATACGGCTTGGATAGCCTTGCCCCTGCCTGCCCACAGGGAGGCGGGCTGTCTTTCACGTGCCCACTTGAATGTAGGAGGCTTGACGATGCGCCTTTCCTTGGATTGCAAAGAAGGACTCCCCGCCTCTGAATGGTTGCCTTGATGTGTTGAATGTAGACATAGCTGTGAGTCTGTCCGATGCTTAGATGAACACAGGCTCTGTCGGCTTACCTGTGTCTAAGCAGAACTTGGGAAGTTACTTTTAAGAAGGAAGGCTGTTACAAGATTTTGTTGCCATCTCTAACGCAGCAATAGTGGGATGATACTCCAACTCATCATATCATCCTACTACTCAGTTATGAGCACCTTCCTCCTGTTATTGTATTCATTCTTCATCAAACTTCCCAAGCTCTGTTTATAATGCTATGGTTTTGCTTTTCCTCTTTTCCTGATTCCTCCTTCTCCCCATTTCTCTCTTCACCCTTTCCTTCTGGAGGTATATTTGCCAGAGTGTGCATATGTATGCCTTTGTATGAACATAAGAAGTGTTCTTGGTTGTTTTAACTTTTTGTGTGTATTTGGGACATTGTAAGTGCTCTTTCACTGGTGACTCACTTTATGTACATAAGAAAACTTGGTACCCCTTTTGTCTGTTCTTGATTGTTTTGCAGATTTTTGAATGAATTTTTTTACTTATTTATTTGATTTCCATTCAATGTATCCCACTTTTGTTTTGAAACAGATTCTTGAGGCAGTTCACTCTATGATCAAAATTGTAGTAGATTTTTTTGGTGAAAAGAAACAAATGCCTGAGCAATTAAACACATTATAATGTTAAATTAAATTGAAAGTAATTTCTAAAACATTTCAGTGAAAAATAATACAATGTGAACAAAAAGCCCTATCCTCAGCAGCCAGGTAATTGCCAACAGTCCTCCTCCATAAAATGGTCTTTCTCTGTTAGCGATGCAGAGACAACACTAAGGTATCTGAAGGATGGTCACTCAATTTGTCATTGCATATGTGTCTGTGGGACTGGTGTGCAATGCCAAAACCCTATGTCAGCTTCTTAACTAGAGGCAATTTGCTGTTGAGATTTAAGCTGATGGAGTTAGGCTTGTAAGTGTTAAGTAACAGGATTCTGGCCAATGATATTGTGCTTTATCTAAATCAGTTTCTTAGTTTCCCAATTTCTTCAGCCACAAAGTTCTTCTTCTGCTCTTCATTCCTCACTTTTTAAAAACTTGAATGATCAGTTTTAACAATTTGAACTGTTTGTTTCTCATTACATTACAAAAGTATTCTAGATTTCTGCATTTTTAAAAAAGTTTTATATCTTGGTCTTTGTTCATTCATCTTAGCATTCCTTCTTTTCCACTCTGTTCAACAAATTCTTTGTCTCCTTTGATATAGGCATCGCTGTGATGGGGGTAAGTTAGTGGTAATCTAATGTTACAGGTTAAATTGGTATCCGGATTATATATGTAATGTTGTATATATTTTAGAAAATAAACAAGGCAAGCATTAAAATTTGTCCTACAAATTAATTAGTTGCAGATCATTTCATGGTTCAAGGAAGTCTTCCCTAACCTGGTGCATTTCAGGTGTTTTAGACTACAAAGAAAATCCCATTGATGCTTATGCAAGGTCCATGCACCTTGCCATAACTAATTGCAGCTGATTGATGAGGTGCCAGTCTTGGTGTACTGCCTGGTTATGCACCTGATTGACCAACAATGTTCTTTGGCACTTCCTCAGTTAGCTGCAATAAACCATGGCATAAAGTTATACATTTTTTCCATGAATACATAGTAGGACACTCTATTATGTTCAGCTAGCAGAGTCCATAGTCAGAGATGGTATGAGCTATAAAACATTTAGAGGGTAACAATTTGAAGAAGACCAGCTAGTGTCAATAGATTTACTTAGTATTAAGATACAGTGAGACCATTTAATACATGTAGTACATTAATTTTATCTAGTATGGTTGGTTTTTAAATGTGCGTCTGACAATCACAAACTCTAGTTCCACACTGGCTGATGCTGTATCAATATACCTGACATGAAGAAATCATCCAATTAGGACATATATGGAGGAATAGTAGAATAAAATATGTAGCATTCATCTTGCTCTTTATTATTATTTTGATATTTTACAGAAAACATACAAGACGACTTTTGAAAAGATAAGGATAAAACAAACAAGAGAAAAACAAGAGAACAATAGAAGTGAAGAAACAGAAACAAAACACCAACAAGCAGAAATCACAGGAAAATCAAAATTCAATCAGATCTTCTTCAGTGCCAACTCAAAAAGCAGGAGAGAAGGCAGTGGACATACCTCTCTGGGCATCTCCCGTTATATAACCTGTTCTGCTCCATTCTGGACATGCTGCAGTGTCTGGACTGCTTTCAATAGCAGCTCCATATAAAATGGATTGTAATAATATAACCTAAATGACAGAGGCCAAGCCCAATCTCTTCAGGAAAGAACACCATTGGCATATTAGGAGGAAATGGTAAAATGCATTCCCACTCACTGCTTTTACCTGAGCACCTTGTTCCCAGTTTAGGCCCAGGGGTTCTTCATGACTCCTCACCTGCCATCTCAGGTGGTTGGAACATCAGCTAGAGCAGGGAGACATTCAGGACCACCAGAATCCCCAGTACACAGTATTTCCAACTCTAGATGATGTCTCCATCTGTTTGCCCTCATCCAGTCCCAAATTGCCACACCACATATTGGCTGAGATCCTGTTGCTTAGCATAATAAGCTGCAGCTACGGGAGGCCCACTGGATCCATGGGGAAGGGAAGAGTCATTTCCTCTGTATGTTCAATTGATTTAATGGGCCTACTCTAGTAGTAACTTACTTTTCTAAGTAAGAGGATTTCAGCCCTCAGTTCAACACATCCACCGCCCACCTCACCTGTTCTAAATGCATCTCCTTTTAGATGCTCTCTTGGGGCCATTTCTTCACACAGCAGCAGCTAACCCACGATAACGCTACTGTCAATCTCGGCTTCCTCCTTGATGCTGCAAATGGTGGGAAATTTTATTTGTCACAGGCATCCTTTATACAAGAAGGTGCATAATAAATATAATATGTGGAGAGGACAACACTTTAGAAGACTGGTGGTGCCCTAGATGCTGTGCAAAACAGAAGAATAACATCTGGTGCAGGGGAGCCTTAACATGGGCTTTAGAGATGCCAGCAAATGTATGTTACCATGGCTTGCAAAAAGTGTAGAGATGAAGGTGAGGGCAGAGGTGAGGCGCATATGGCTGTCAAATGTTGCTGGATACACATCCGCCCTAGGGATGCAAATCCTCACCTGATTGGTCCTCACACAGCCAAGGAGAAATGTTGTGTTGGTCTCAGAGAAAAGCTGTGTATTTTCTCAAATGGTTTTTGTACATTACTGTAAAATGTGCTGTATTGGACGATGTAGTAACCATTACCTTGTGGTATGAATCAGCAAAAGCAGTGCCACTGCAGGCTTAATTTTGTCTTTGTGATCAATTAGCCGTAGTGCTCAGTGCCTGTGTGTGTTTGGCTTCACAAAGAGAAGATGGCACTAATTTTGCATGGGAACAAGATTTTAATTCAAATTGAAAACCACAAAAAAAAATCACACATACACAAAAATACTATTTGTGGTGTCTCAGACTCTTCAAGATCTCTCAGTGGATTAGAAAATCCTCAGGAACCTGTCTCAGTAGATGCTAAGACAGCCAGACTTATGTTAAATCACAAGAACAGAGCAACATCTTCATATCTTTAGCCCTAACCAGCATAGATGAAGATGAGGTGTG